AATGATAATAGTTCTGATGATGACAACAACCAATGATAAAACCAGAAATTTAATTAGCAAATCATTATTTTATCAATGTGCACATATTGCACACTTCAATGTCTTGGCCATAAAATGTTTTAATATTTTTACGGAGTGCTGTAATTTCACATATAAGTTCGTCGCTTTATCGAGCATATTTTTTCTTCTGTTCGATTACCTGAACTCTTCTTCGTGCGCGTGAGCGCACTACAGTGAATTTAAGGTGCATTTGCAATGAAAGAAAAAAAAATGACAAAATATCAGAGAATTCTTCTCGTTTTGCTATTGAGTTTACAACGTTCCCGATGCAATGATCATCCAATGCGATGCAGAATTTGAACAATTTCATTTAGTGGTGTGTGTTTGTTTGTGTATATGTGCGCAACGACAATTACGCAGATGACGACATCAACCATTTCATATGAAATCGCCTGCTAATGGCACCATGACATCTACACACAAAAAAAAACTGCAACCAAAGAGCATCGGTGTGTATGTGTTCGATTTGAATCTACTTGTAATTGGTTGTCTTTATCAACATTCGACGATGCATACAGTTCACAGTCAAAGTGCTCACATTGCAACCATTATGAGAAACGCATTCAAGTTGGTTTTTGTGTGTCTTTCTTATTTTTATTCCATGTCTTCGACAGTTTAGATACATTGATACTACCATAAATTGTACATTTGCTTTGCCACGATACAAAAAAAAAATAACGTGCTCAAATGTTTGTGTTTGCCTCTTATTGTTGTTGTATATTTTTTTTCATTTCATCTTCATATTGATGTGCGCACGCACGAGAACCATCCATCGTTTTTATCTTAATTGAAATAAAATAAAGAAAATATTTTGTGAATCTTTTTATTTTCGGTTTTCGACACCGCACCACTTCATGGCATGTTTTGAAGCCAACTGATAAATGCTAATTTATGATAAAATATCATTATTAAAACGAAAAGGGTTGTTCGTCGCATGACAAAAGCGCGCAAAAAACATTCGTTTTTTTTTACTTTTTAACATGAATTTATTTTCGCGTGTCTCTCTATCTCTGTGGCAGTTGCTACTTCTTCTGCTGCTGTTGTTGCTGCTGGATGGTTAGTTTGTTTTGTTTGGTCGAAAGAACCAAGTCGTTTCGGAGGCTTGTAAGCACTCTTAACTCATACCGTCCATCTAATAAAATACATACAAAAAGTTACATGAATAGAATTAAATCTTCTTCTCTTTCCACTTAAACCAACGGAAAAACCGAGTGAAGGGAGAGAGAGAGAGAGATAGAGAAAAATGTCGTTAAATTGCTTAAATGCATTCCAACGAGTCGAAGAAACGAATGAAAGGGCGAAACACCATGTTGACCGGCTTAATTTCTCTTTTATAAATTTATTAATGTTCGTCGATACATTGGTTCTTGGGTTTGTTAGTTTGCGAGATTGTGTCGATTCTTTCAGGCTGCACACAATTTCCAATTTCAATGTGCTCATGTTCACGCTCACTCACGGTTGCTGCACATTTTCTGCTAGTTGCTTTTTCGTTTATTGGTAGTAGTTTTTTTTTAAATATCTGGTTTTTCACACAATATACCAAAGCCGAAGCAATCGACGATTGTGCGCTGTGAGTGTGTGCATAGTTTATTTAGCCATTAATATAATATTGTTTGGAAAATTAATTCATTGAAATATGTTGATGCTTTGTATGTTTCTTTTTCGTTCTCTTTGATTGTTTGTCCCGTTTCTCGTTTTCCGTCGTCCATCGTTAATTTAGTGATGTTTTGCGCGCTATGTTGCATACATATATATATATAAACAAAACAGTAAGAAATTGCTTGCGCTCTATTGGCTTGTCTCTGTCTTTTCCTTTGTAATGTTAATGTGGCTGTTATTGTTGTTGTTGTTGTTGTTGTTGAATATGCGCGTGAATCAAACACACCAAATGAAGATGGTTTTCAGAACCATACCACCGAAAACAGAAGAAATAACACACGAGCGACGTGTACATAAATAAAAGAAGTGATCATCATCATCGTCGTCATTATAGTCACAGTGCACGCGGGGTTTTTAACTCCGGTGTATTTTCTTCGCGATCTCTCACTCACCATCCAATCTCGGCGCATAGTACCGCACATTCAGAGCGAGCAAGAGAGAGAGAGAGAGAGAGAAGGAAAGCGAGAGAAAGAGCACAGAGCAAAGTAATCAGAGGCCCGAAACGACGAAACCAGTTTCATTTCAAAGCAACTAAGTTGTATATAAAATAATTTATTCTGTGAGTTCAACACACAGCGAATTATACATAATTGGTTTTAAAGGTTTCTTCTTGTGCGCATTTTTTGTTTGTCTCTGTTTCGCATTCAATCTTTCTAGTTCATTTCTCTCTTCTCCATTCCTGTTTCATTATATCGAATTCGATTGCTTCTTGCGTTGCTTTTTTGGTCGCGTCTGTTATGTGTGTTTAGTTCTTTGCTCATCGGTTTTGTAGCTGTGTATTGCCGAACAAATATATGATGATCAACCCGAAAAAAAGGAACAAAAGTTTAAGTGAAACAAAAGGAGAACACGAAGACAAAACACGAAAAAAAAAACAACAACAACAACCAGCCGATAAAAGAAGAATAAAGAAGAAATGTGAGGCAAACATAAAATGTGTGGTTTTTAGTTTGGGATTATACTTTTGGTACGCGCATCGTAATCATCCAATCCCGTCGAATGTTACACAACATATAAGAGAATGATGATGATGCCATGTGCAACAGCAGCAGCAGCAGCCACACACGGCATAAAGAGATATCCGAAAGCATCGAAACGCACAAACACACATATCTTGCTGCTCCGAATATATCCTATGAGAAATGGACGAGCAAAGCGAAAAAAAGAACGAAGAAGAAGAAGGACAACGAACACACAAAAAAAAAAACCATACACATTTCAAAGGAAATATTATTATGATGCATGAAACAAACACGGATGAACATATAAATGCATTTGAGAATAACATCGAATTCGAATATATTCGTTCGTTCAGCCGTTCCTTTTTAATTCGATCGTTCATTTTCAGTTTCATTTTCGTTTTCGGTTTCGTCCATCGTCTCATCATTATATCTGTTGTGTGTTCTTCGCTTTTGTAATATATTTCTATTAGTATTTTCTTTATTTTGGTGGTGGATCGTTCTGAATCCACACCGTTCGTCCCTCCGTCTCTCTCGCCTTCTTCATTTTCTTCTTCTTCTTCTTCTGTGTACCGCGATGCATAATAGCCGATAGCGGTCGGCTTCTATGAGGCAAAACGACAGAATTATGTATCTGTAAATAATGCACTTTGTTAAATTGTCGATGTGCACAAAATTACGAGAGACTTTGTCTCTATGCACGGAAAATGTTCTCTTTTTTTTCTCTTGATCTGTATCATCGAGCAACTAAAAATGGATGGCTGTTTGAAATGAACACGTTAAATGCAGTCGCTGTTTTTTTTATTAAAAAAGAGCTTTATCCGACTCACCGCAACACAGATATTCCTTTAAAACATACATCAAATGCAAAAAGTCAAGACAACAACAGCAAGTCGATGAAGAAAAAAAATTGCTGATTTGTATTATATACAATAACATTTTTATTTCTAAACATGGTAAAAAATTAGACAAATGATAAATGGTAAACTACGTCAACAACTAAAACAACGGCCACAACGTTGTCGACGAAAATGATAATGATGACGACAAAGATGATGCTGATTAAAATGGCAAACGGTCCGATAATCAGCTATGATCTTTACGGTAATTGTCTCTCTTAAGTCATTGCAAATGGTGAACATATTTTCTGCCTTCTGTTTTGCCACATACCGCAAGATTCCAATCTCACGTATTTAATTGATTTTTCATGATTGATGTGTCAAATTTACGGAGATTGCTTTTTTCTCTTAGCTCTCTCTCTCTATTCACATTGCCATCCACTCAACGTGAGCACAAAAAAGGAGAAAAACTCACTTTGGAGCTCACCGATTTCCATATGAAATTCTATCAATTGGGTGAAAATGATATTAAAAAGCACTCAGCTTTGTTTTTTTTTTGTTGATTAAAAACGTTTTTGAGCAAGAAATTATGCAAATTTGAAAAATGGTTAAATGTATTATTTCCATTAGAAAGCATTTGAAATTGTAAATATTATCAAAGTAAACAATTTTTCATCCAAAAATAAATGATCGTAACTTATGGAAATGACACAGAGATTAAATAAATTGACTACTTTGAATGTGATATTCAACGAATCAATGGTATTTTATTCTAACGAGAAAAAAATGGCGTCAAATCGATTATTATTGGCAATAGATTACGGGTCGGATGTGAAGGCCCCATAATGGCATCGGAGTCTTCATCCTTGAATTATGGCAATAGAGTCAAAATGAATTTATGTGCAATTCAAATTGATGTTCAAAAAATCCAAAATTAAACGCGAAAAAGAGATGTTGAGAATGATCTCTCTGTTCGTGCTCAATATGAAAGTGTGTGGGGATGACATAGTACAACCACTTCAATTTTGAAAAATCAGAAATTGATTAAGTTGCGTTGTAAATCCAAGCCGAAAAAAAAACACACGAGAAACAAGCATGCATAGTTGTTCGTGTAACTTTTCAAGGCCTCTGCAAACCAACAAAATCTTTACTTCTCTATTTCCATTGCTCTTTTTTGTTGTTGTCGTTGTTTAAATCACCGAAACAATCTAAGCTAAACGCATAAAGACAAGAGATGCACAAGAGACACTCACACATACACACATATATTATGCGCATCCTATTTTCATCCTATTCTCTCATTGCCTAAGCATTCGGCCCTTTCGTTAGTTTCGATTCACATACGCAACCCGAAAAAAAAGAGGCGTTGCCTAGCACAACCACAAAACATACTACGAAGATTAGGTCTAATAGAGACACAACAAATTTAGTCGTTCTGTATGAGTTCTTACTCAACTGTGTTTCAGATTACAAGTGACATTCGACTGTGTCACGTCATACAGAGAGAGTGTTCTTTTTTTCTTGTAGCTCGAGAAAATATTAGAAGTGAAGAAAAAAAATCACGAAGTGTTCACAAAAATTGTGCATCAGTTTATAAAGTTATTTTGATTATTATTTTTCGATTCAAATTATAACAACAACGAAATTCAATATGGCAATCAGTACAACAACTGTTGAGTGTAGTACATCACCTTCGATGATCAGTCCAAATATTAAACGTGAAAATCATCGTGATGATCGTGCCAAAGTTGAAAAGCCGATCGCTTTTTCAATTTCAAATATTTTAAGCAACAATTTCGGCAACAATAAAGTGCTCAGTGAAAAGAATAATGGACTTGTGTTCCGACCATACGATAATGATTGTGAACAATCGTCACCAAAAAAAATTAAACTCGACCAACGATCCGACGATGAAGATTCAAACGGTGAGTGTTTTTTTTTTTCATTTTTTCAAAATTTTTTGGATGTAATATTTTTTAAACACTTTGGCAAAAGGGTCTTAACTTTGGTAGACACGAATCAATCAAAAAATTGGAATGAAATTAAAGCTCCAAAATACTTTGACTACTTTTGGCCGTTCGAAATATTTCGAATGAAAGAACATTTGGAAAAAACGAATCATTTTAAAAATAGAAAAGGGAAGTCTCTGCGCAACTTTGGTGTTATCTTCGGTTGTAATGAAGTAATGGTTCCCTTGTATGTTTATGTAGATGGAAAAAATTCACATTTTTCAATTCAATTCAATCAATTTCAATGTTTTTTGGATATGTTTATCCATTCAAATGAAACTCTTAGTTTATGGCAATGTTTTTCCTTAATTTTGGGCTAATTTGAAAATTGTAAGAATTAGGAAAAACATTTCATTCTGGTACCCGATGAATTTTCATTGCACTGGCACACCAAAATTGTAACTATTTTTGATGGATTCAAAATCAGAGGATTCCACTACTAAAGTTCAGACCCCCGCAGCTTAAATTGTTTCATATTTTTGCTACACCCCTTTATAAATGTATATGTTCTGTTTGCTGGAATTATGGAGCAATTTCTATGAATTTTATCGGCTGAGATCTTGCGACAGAACCATGACAATTGACCAATAACCAAGTTACCGAACAAATTTGATTTTTTTAAACACGATTACCAGACTTTTTTCCGTTCCAAATTCATAATTCAATTGTTTGCTTTTTAACGAATGAACTTAAAGACTGAACAATAGTATTTGTTGATGTTGATATTTGTGTTCATTTTCTTTCAAATTTCAAATATTTTTACGTTTCTTTTTTATTTTGAATATTTTTACTTATTGCTTATGTTTTTTTTTTCTTCCCAAAAATGACAGACAATGACGATGATGAAGAAATTGATGTAACTGATGATCGAAGTGACTTCCGTCAAACTGCTGCCATCGATTTTAGCAATCCACTTCCAAGTAGTGATGTCCAACGTTTTGCACAAAATCTTTTCGTGCCACAACAGCAAGCGCATCAACATTATTTCCATCAGCAGCAATTATTGAGCCATTATCATGCAGCAATGGCTGTTGCCCAGCAATCACTTCATCGTGCTGGAGTTCATAGTCTTATAGATGGTGGCGGTGTCATCGATCGATCACCACCCTATCCCGACTTTTATCATCATCAACAGCAACAACACACATCAGTCAGTGCCAATAAAAAACGATTCGAACCAAACAGTTTATTAAAGGACACTGCCCTAGCCAAATATGCTCCATTGGGAGATCTTTGTAAAACTGTATCACAAATTGGCCAAAGTCCAAGCACATCACCATCTTCAATGAGTAGCACCAAATTACCATCATCAACATCATCAGAACCATCATCAAATAAAAAATCATTGAAACGACCTGCATCGCTTCTAGACCACACACCAAATACAAGTGAATCAAAAATCGCATCAAAGTCACCGTCAACATCAAATGAAACATCAACCGCAAAGAGCACACGATTGGAGAATTTGGACTCGGGCATGGAATCATCGGACGATGCAAAATCAGAGACAAGCAGCAATAAAGATGAAAATGGACAAATGTGGCCGGCATGGATTTATTGTACACGATACAGTGATCGGCCCAGTTCAGGACCACGATACAGAAAACCAAAAGTACCCAAAGTCAAAGGTGAAAATGACGAAAAACGACCACGCACCGCTTTTTCATCCGAACAGTTGGCACGTCTCAAGGTAAATATTTAGTTGTTTTTTTTTCTTCTTACACAATTTCATATTAATTTCCACTGTTTGAAGCAAAATAAAATGAATCGATCATAAATTAACAAAACAATTTTCCATTTTTTTTTGTTCTTTTTAGCGTGAATTCAACGAAAATCACTATTTGAATGAACAACGTCGCCAAAAACTAAGCTCGGAGTTGGGTTTGAATGAAGCACAAATTAAAATTTGGTTCCAAAATAAACGGGCAAAAATAAAGAAGACATGCGGCCAAAAGAATCCACTGGCAATGCAATTGGCCGCACAGGGATTATATAATCATTCAACGGTTGCACTAACAAAGGAAGATGAAGAGTTTGAAATGCGAATGAATGGCCAGCTGTAAAGTGAAAATTGGCACGCAATCATCGTATTTTGTGTGCATGTGTGTTTGTATATGTGCTACAAATCGTACGTGCTTCAACCACCCAGAAGTCAAAGTTGGCGTTCGCTGTGTACAGAATAAAGGTGTAAAATGATTTAGTCATAATATTTGTATTTGAGAAATCAGTTTGAATTTTGAAGAAAAAATCAATGCACCTTGCATCTGTTTAATACCTCACCCGGGCTCTACATCAGAACATTGTGCAATCGCTCTAGATATATTACAAAATTATGATATGATGTCATATAGTTTTTTTTTGAGACAAAAGAAATAATAGAAATGAGATCCAATGAGCAGAGCATTGTTACCATTTCACACCAAGACTGCGTGTTTTGATTAAAAAAAAGCAAATTTTGCAAAGAGAAAAAGTCAAAACACATTAGTCATTGTGAAACTTACTCTCATTTTGATCTCAATGAATAATCGATTATCATATTTTTTGTATATTCTAAGTAATTTTAGTGGTAAAAATGAGGCTTTCCATTTGATCATAGTGGTTCATTTTTTTAAATGAATATAATTGTTTGTAAGCAGAAATTCTATTCAATGTATAGTTCGACATTTATTATTTAGTATAAGAAATTATGATTTGAATTAAGGATTTATATTAATAAATATATGAAACAACACATGAAATTCTAAAATACTCGTTTTTCATTGCTTTGGTGACAGCTATGTCGCGCCATGGGCGTTGATTATCATCATTTACACAAAGGACCTAAATTTATCGATGCTTATAAATCTTGAAAAAAAAAATACAACAATAATCAGTTGTAATCTTCGTGGTTTCTTCAAGTCGCTGGGAGTGGGTCTTTTTTTAAATCTCCGATTAATAAAATATCATTGTTAAATTTATGTTTCTTCTGCTGATCTTCGAACATTTTTCAAAAGATCTTTTGAATATATTTGGAATCATTTTTTAAACACTAGCATGATCAATCTAAATATGAAAAAATGACAAATAATCTTTATAGTATTATGCTACCTAATCTATAGAGAAGAATAAAAGAATAAATAATTCAGCACCATTAGAAAGTGTCCGATACTAGGAGTGTTTAAACGGTAAGTGCTTAGGTTTAACGGTCTTTAAAGACCCCAATTATGGAAATATGATTAAGTCTCATTGTATATGGACGTTTAGAAGCATTCAACTTTTGGCTAAAGCTTTTTTGTTTGTTTGCAACAGATTTTATTGGGCAAATAACAGTTTTGTAATCACTGAGTATGAAATCTTTGTTGAAATCAGAAACTATTTCTCAGAGCGATATATGTGAGGATAAGTGCTCTAAGGAGCTGGAGGATCACAGGCGGTGCTCTACTTCTTATTGCTATTTCAGCTTCTCAGAGCGCTCCTGAAAAATAAGAGAAAAATCAAAAACATTTCTACAAAAAATATATTTTAAAATTTACAAGTCTCTGGATAAAATAAACACTTGTAAAATAAATTGTTTTACTCGTCACTTAAACTACGTCGTGTAATGTTCAAACTTTCATTTGTCACTCAATTAACCAAATTCTCAACTTGGAAAAAAGATAAAACACTAGAGTAAAGGAAAGTAAGACCAACTTTTCCGCAGTGTGACCTACAACATGCCTTTGCTGCAATTTAACTTAATTTGAATGTTATCCTTTTGATTGTGTTTGAGAAAAAAAAACTCTATGTGTTTATTGTTGCAGTAGTAAAAATGAATCGATTAGAATATTCTTGAGGTCAGGAAATTCGTTAAAGTAAAAGAGCAACACGTTCGTATAAAAAATGTATGGTCATGTTGCAGTTTTATTTTGGAAAATTTCTTGATATCACGAATATTCTAGCCGAATTTTTGGCACGCGAAAACCGAATCCGAAGTTAAATTAAAATTCATTTATTGACAATTTTCTGTCTTTTACAATAATTTAACAGTGTAAAGCTTAATGTTCATCAAAGTTTTTTTTTTTTTTTTAAAAACAAAAAATTGTGGATTTTTGTATGGAAGACCAATTTTGTATGGGAGGTACTTCAAATTTGCTTTGAAATTGAGAATGTTTTTTTCCTTGTGAAAGGTGTATGCGGAAATGTAAAAAACAGTATTACTGATTTATTTTCTTTGTATTTTTTTAATTTGAATAGTATAAAATTGGCTGCAATATGGTATTTTCACCACATTCATTTAATTTCTCATCAAATAGCTCCATGTTTTCGGAGAAGTTCAGCCATATCCTTCCGACCTGGAAAGTAAAGAATCGAATCATTGAAAGGAATTTATAGTTCGAGTCGATAGTTTGCACATATTACCATTGTAGATGGCTATATATAGCGGTGTATTTTTAAATTTATCTTCTGTATTAATATTAGCCCCAAGATTGATGAGAAGTTCGACCATATCCTTATTACCTAGAAGTCAAAGAATCAAATATTAAAAAGGAATTCAAAGTTCCGCTCGATAGTTTGCACTATTACCCCAACCCGAAGCTAGATGTAGCGGCGTTCGTTTGTCTTCATCTTCTATATTAATATTAGCCCCACGATTGATGAAAAGTTTAACCAAATCCCCCTTACCTGGAAAGCAATGAATCAAATATTAAAAGGAATTCATAATAACAATAGTTAATTTGGACTATTACCATGTAACGAAGCTAGATGTAGCGGCGTTCGTTTATATTTATCTTCTGCACTAATATTAGCCCCATGACTGATGAGAAGTTCCGCAAAATCCGTCCGATCTGCAAAGCAAATCAAACATTGCAAGGAATACAAAGTTTCACTAGAAAATCTAGAATATTACTTTTGACTGAAGCTTCATGTAGTGGTGTTTGTTTATGTTTATCTTCTGCATTAATATTGGCCCCACGTTTGATGAGAAGTTCAGCCATTTCTTTTTCATCTGGAAGTCAAAGAGTCATATATTAAAAGAAATTCAAAGTTCCACTCGATAGTTTGCTCTATTACCAGAGTGGACAGCTACATATAGCGGCGTTCGTTTATCTTTATCTTCTGCATTAATATTGGCCCCATGATTGATGAGAAGTTCAGCCATATCCTTATTACCAGAGAGGACGGCGTAATGTAACGGTGTATTTTTATTCCGATCTTCTGAATTAATATTAGCGTCACGATTGATGAGAAATTCCGCCATATCCAAATTATCTGGAAAACAATGAATCAAAAGATTAGAAAGGAATTCATAATTCGAATCGATTGTATGCTCTATTAACCCAACCCGAAGCTTTATGTAGGGGCGTTTGTTTATGTGTATTTTCTGCATTAATATTAGCGCCATGTTTGATGAGAAGATCAGCCAAATCCTTCCGACCTGGAAAACAAAGAATCAAACATTGCAAGGAACTCATAGGTCCACTAGATAATTTGCACTATTACCATATTTTAAAGCTTCATGTAGTGGTGTTTGTTTATATTTATCTTCTGCATTAAGATTAGCTGTACGATTGATGAGAAGTGCAACCATATCCTTATCACCTAGAAGTTAAAGAATCATTAAAAAGGTATTGATAGTTCCACTCGATAGTTTGCACTATTTATTACCTTTTCTCACAGCTATATGTAGCGGTGTTAGTTTATCTTTATCTCCTGCATTAATATCAGCACCATGACTGATAAGCAGTTCAGTCAAATACCTATTAACTGAAGTGAAAAAAATCAAATCATTAAAAGGAATTCACGGTACCACTCGGTAACTTGGACTATTACGATTTGCTGAAGCTATATAGAGCAGCGTCTGTTTATATTTATTTTCTGTGTTTATATTAGCTCCATGACTGATGAGAAGTTCAGCTACATCATTCCGACCTGAAAATTAAAGAATCAAAACAAGTTCGAGTCGATAGCTTGCACTATTACCGTTTTTTGTAGCTATAGAAAGCGGCATCTCTCTATCTTTATCTTCTGCATTGATATTAGCCCCACGATTGATAAGAAGTTCTGTCACATACTTGTTTCCTGGATAGCAAATAATCACATATTAAAAGTAATTCATACTTCCACTCGATAGTTTGGCTCACCACTTCGTGCAGCTACATGGAGCGGCGTTTCTTTATCTTCATCTTCTGCATTAATATTAGCCCCACGATTGATGAGAAGATTAACCATTTCCTTCTGACCTGGAAAGTAAAGAATCGAATATTAAATCGAATTAATAGTTCAACTTCACAATTTGATTAACCGCTTCGTGCAGCTACATGGAGCGGCGTTTGTTTATCTTTATCTTCTGCATTAATATTAGCCCCACGATTTATCAGAAGATTAACCATTTCATTCTGACCTGGAAGTCAATGAATCATATATTGAAATAATCATATATTATTATCATAGTTCCACTCGATAGTTTGGATTACCCCTTCGTGAAGATACATGGAGTGGCGTTTGTTTATCTTTATCTTCTGCATTAATATTAGCCCCACTACTGAGGAGAAGTTCAGCTACATCCTTATTACCTGGAAGTCAAAGAACCATATATCAAAAGGAATAGTTCTCGATAGTTTGCACTATTACCCATTCCTGCAGCTAAATGGAGCGGGGTGTTTTTTTCAACATCTTCTGCATTAATATTAGCCCCACGATTGATGAGAAGTTCAGCCACATCCTTATTACCTGGAAGACAAAGAATCATTTATCAAAAGGAATTCATAGCAGCTACATGTAGCGGCGAATTTTTTATTTTCATCTCCTGCATTAAAACTTGCCCCTTTTTCCTTTACTTTATCTGAAAATTAAACTAAGCTCAATGATCATATATATGAATATTTTAATGAAACATGTCGTTTAAAATGATTTGGAAAATAAAATAAAACAAAAATAGATGGAAAATAAACGAAACTCTAGTGTAACACACCGTGAATGCTTCCACTGACCCAAATTTATATTTGAATTTTAGCATGCGAAATGTTTATTTTTACAGATTGCTTGATTACTTTACTCTTCGTATTATAATCGACCTTAAGAGTTAATTCGTAGTTATAGTTAGTTTAAAATTACCTTCTCTAACCGCATCGAATAGCTGTTCGTCCAAATCAGACAGCGCACACACTTTTAGAGACAAACATATTAAAACAATCACACATTCCACTTTCATTGTTACAAATAATTTAATAAAATTAAACAGTATTTGAGATAAAAAGAAAACTTAAATAGAGTTGTATAATTAATTCGTTGGAATAATTCGAAAATGTTTGAAATAATCATTGCATTCGCAATGGAATAAAAGAGAGTACTGATTTTTCTGACTCTACTCTACACGTTATTTATTGCAACATTTTGCTGCAATTTTGATTATGATCAATTGACGTATATTGCGTGCTAAAAGAAGTAAGAATATGTTATCAAAAAAAGAATGAAATAGAATCATATGATCATTCTACGTATACAACAACAACAAGCACTTGAATGTCACCCTTTTGAGTCATTTCCATTCTTATCCCATTTAAAGCGTGATATAAAATGAACCAAATTCATTTAAATTAATGAAAAGATTAAACGTAATAATTCGAATAAATCCAAAATAAAGCTCATGCTTAGTGATAAACAAAATCAGGGTACAGGGTACCACACACTCACATTACTTTATCGAGAAAACGCGTGATTCGTATTCTCTGGCCCCGAAACATCCAGAAAACAGGTGTTTTGGGGGGTCTTAGTTTTGTGTGTGCGAAAAAACTTTTTGGCAATCGATCAAAATATTTTAACTGTTTGTCGAAAAATCAATTTTTTTTTTGTTTTTCATAACGTACTTATCCGTAAAAGGACTAATACTATATTTTTGTAATTTTTTTCTCATTGAATAAATGGCACGGCATTGGTTGAATTCAATGGATTTGAGTTTGATTTCAAATCAAGTTGAAGTTTACAAATAAAAGTTGATGACGCTAATAAACAAATTCATTTCGTGGATTTTTGTTTGCCAAGATAAGCATTAAAAAAACAATCCTTTAGTGATGATAAATGACCAAAAATGACCAATAGCATTGCACAATCGAGATAACTTGTGGAATTAACAAAATAAAAATAAAAATTGAAAGTTTATTCGATTAAATAGAACTGCTGCAGCTATTTGTAAATGTTTTGAAAGTATTATCGTGTAAAGTCAAAGACAAGCAAAATGCCATTAATAGTCACAACGAACACTGTTATTTCTCTGCATACACACGTATATCGGAATGAATCGGAAATGTGCGAAGGTGTATTTGATAAACACACATGCGCTGATGCAAAGCATTCAAGGGGCATATTGGATATGTCACTGTCTGTATGTTGGTTTTATCAATTTGATCAGAAGGTTTTATGAACATGTCATGTTGCTGCAATCATTAATCATGAGATTACTTCATATATATCTTTCACTTGTGCATCTCCTTATTTGACATTTTTTGCATGTTCGGAAGACTTAATATGCATTTTTTTTCCTCTATTGAATAAACATTGATGTAATGATAATTTTATAAAAAAAAGTAGCAACCAAGACATGAAAATAGAAATGAAAGCAAGCGTCATTAACGTACAGGAAACGGTCAATATTCTGAGAAATAAAATGGTCGGCTTAAATTGTAATGCGAACTGAAAAGAACATTGTAGATCAAGTACATCAATTGAGACAATTGCAGACATAAAATATTTACCAATCCTTGATGATGCGTTTGGCATCTCGTGAGGCGGCTAAACATCAGCCATGGTAAATAGACTCAGTGGGTAGAATTATCGTATGTAAGTTTAAGTAAAATTAATTAACCAGATGTTATTTGTAAATTTCATTTGTGGTTTTTCTGACTACTTTGAGGTTTTGCATGTAAATTATCGAAACAATCTCAAGTTATTTTCCAATGAAATATAACTATTTCATTATTCATTAAAAAAAATTGCTTGAAGTGAGCAATGCGGAGGGCAATGCCAGATTCACAATGAGAGAAAATAAGGAAGAAACATAGAGTAAAATGAAAATCATTTTAATTTGTGTTGCGGCTACTGCTGCTGTTGCTACTGGTGATGGGATCGGTTTCGTGATCACTTGATCGGTTTTCAGCAGACAGTCTGAATTGTAATTGAAAAATTATAAAATTAATGCAGAAGCGAAGTAAAAATCTGCGCCACAAATGGACTTCTCCGGTCGACTGACAGAAAAATGAACATTTATTGGCAAGGCTGTAATTAAGGTGTCCAACAAAAATTGCAGCCAATTGCAAATTTTACCAACGAATACAGTTTAGATAATTCGATTTGAGTCCAGAAATGGCACATCGATCTTCCAACCACGACATACAACGTAATATTTTTAACAACAAGGGAAAAAAACCAGTAGCACTTTAAATATTCATTATCAAATTGACAAATATGCTAAGATTAATCATTAAAATCATGTGCGCAGAAGAGAAAAAGAAGTGAAAGATGTATTTACTCTCTTTATAAACTGATCAATCGACGGCGTTCCATTTTGTGGTTTTAGATGAGTATCTTGTTGCATCGCTCACAAAAGTAGCTACTTGAAATGATTGAATATAATAAAAAAATATCGCAGCAATTGGTATGGCTGAATAACAAAAGAGAGAAAGAAAAAAAGCAACTATAAATTGCTCCATCATTTCTGCAGTGTGACCGAATGAAAATCAAGAGCTTGAAATATTATCACTTTATGCCTTTTTTTACAGCATTTGCGCGGATAAATGAGCCAAAAAATAAAACGTAAAAGAGTCACGTTCACCTCATTTGAACATATTTCTTATGCGCTCCTTTTACTTTCAAACCCATCAATTAATCAAGCGTCGCAAAAGGTTCTTGTCGCTTTTTTTTCGCCAATGAATATTTTCGAGTGATTGCTCTCGCGTGGGCACCACGAAAATATTGAAATGGGTGGAAAAATGATGATTCCATGTATCAAATGGAGTTGTAACTATGCGGAAGTGCAGGATTTGAATTTAATAAAAAAATTAATTAATTTCAAATAATGGACTTAGTAGGAACGGCCAAACGGATATCATTACTCAAATGAGCCGAAAAGTTTGTCTTGTACGTGCAATACAAATTGTCTGTGATGTGTTTTTTTTTTAATTCGTTTCGCATATTTCTTCACTCGTTTTATAAATGTAATATGCAATTTAATATGCAATTTATTGTAAAATTTATGATATTATGACAAATATTTTGTGCGAACGAAAGAGAGACAATCGATTCCACCCATCAGTTTCGTATCAAATGTACGGTGGCATTTTTCATAAAATGTAAATTAATCTCGGTGCTTGCATCTCTTCTCTCTCTCTTTTTCTCTATCTCTCTATCTATCTGTTGGCGTTTCTGGTGAAAAATAACATTGATATTAATGAAAGTTTTCGAACTTCGAACGAAATATTGATATCAAGTAGCTGTGTGACGCGCATCGTGCAAATTTAGTTGGAAAAATATGTTCGCGGTCAGGCATGTCAGAATGTTCAATCAATTATCATACAAAGTTGCCATAATTTGGTATGTTAAAATGGATGATGATAACTTGTGCGCAAAAAAACGGAAGACAGACGCTCGTGTAATTTTGTTTCTTTTTTTTCGAAGCGGCCATAAATTAATTTTCGCTGCCAATTTATCTCTTTTTTTAAGTTTAGAAGAGAAGAAAGGGAACAAGTTTCTGGGCTAATGTAAAAAAATTCAATTTTGATCACTTTCTGATATTTCTTTTTGCAAGTAAAGAAACGGATTTGCTTTTTTGCACTCTTTTTTTTTGGTTAATTTTTTGTTTTCTTACACGAAATATGTACTTGATAATGTTATATTGGAATATTTTTCGTGTTTCGAAGTGATTATCGCACGATTGCAGAACAGAATAATGGTTACCGGAAGTCAAATAATGATAGGAAACGAGCGCCTGACAAATTCCATTTAGTTTTGCGTCAATAAAGTCGGAGGCACGCGTGAATGCCAACAATATAAATGCCAAACAATTTCCGAACACTCAAAATGGAGACTTTGGCCCAAATTTCCTTGTCTTTTTTGTTAAATAAATATATAGACCATTTTTATTTGTAATAAATTCCAGATGCACATATTGAAATGTGTACCATATTTTAAGAGAGGCAGATGCATCAAAATGACTATTGTTTGCAATGTGCCCCGCACCGCACACATTCACCATTGATTGAGAATAAATGAGAAAAAGAGATGTGATTAAATTTTATTGACTAAAAGTCAATTTGTGTCATTTTCAACAACGACAATTCGAACAATGAAATGGCCGATGTCAATTCAAGGATCGTCCTTAATTCGTGCCAGAGACACTTTTCCTTGAAAAAAAAATTTGTCCAATTTTTAATCATCATTAGTGTAATTGTGTTTTTGCCAAACCTTCCATTCCGCCCTCTTGATGATTTCAGAAGTTTCATTTACCTCAACAAAACTCATTCAATGTGACCTTGTTCGATATTTTTTGTCATAGAAATAGAAAGTCCTTGATTTAAAAGAAAAAAAAACTAGCACATCGATCAGATTGACGCTATTTATTCTTTTATCCAGACAATTGTATTTCTTCATCAATTGTCTACTGTTACAACTTCTATTACCGTTTAATATTTTTTTTGCAACTATTTCAAGGTGACTCAAAGGAACGGAAAAAACTGACATTTTTTTGATTTTCCTGTCTAAATGTATTCTTTAAGAAGTTATATTCGATGTTCGCATTCATTTGTTTGTTTATTTGTACCGTACAAATTCTGTATTCCTTTATTGCACTTTGGCAATTTTCATGGCGACAATGCACAAACGGCTCTTTCAATAGTTAGAAAGAGCATTGAAATTCATTTGACGCTCAACAAATTGAATGAATGGCCAAGTGCCACGAGAAAAGCGAGAGAGAGAGAGAGAAAAAAAGAGAGAAATTTCAAAGTCAAACAGACGATGAAAAAAAGAAAATTTCTGGACAGTAACTAACTTGATTCATTGTGACTGTTTGTACCGTTGATGCATGCAGCGCACCTTTAAATCGATTTTTTGCAGGCAATTAAGATCACCAAATCATTACCAGCCAATTGTCTCGAATGGAAAAGAAGTCAAACAAGAAGATCAATAGGTGCAGATAGAGAAAGAGAGAAGCAACATCGAAAAAGAGTCGAAAAATGTGTGTGTGTCTTTGTATATATGGAGATGTACGCTCAGTATGAGAAGGAAAGTATGTATGACTGTAAATGCCACAACAACACGTGTTATTCAATTGTGTCTGTTGCGTTGTTTTGTGAAAAACGTCTTCGTTTTTATTTTTCGCTTGTGTTTCGTATGCAATGAAGTTCAGGTTCTTTTCATCTTGTGTACCAAAGTCACAATATTTTCCTCTCCATCTCTGTTTTGCTGTGTGTTTCGTCTCCCTTTTGCGTTCATACCATTTTGCGATTTTCATTTTGCACTCTGTTTGTTAGGTTTTCTTTTGATTTCAATTTGTTTCGCCGTCTTTTTGTTGTCGTTGTTGTTGTCAAAAAGACAACAAACCATTGTTTTTCAATGCAATCTTTTAATGGGTATATATTTATATACATAAAGGAAACGACAACAACAAAAATTGGAAGGCACCATACAGAAAATTGCATAGAAAATAAAATGTTGCTAAAAATAAAATCCATTCGTTATTTTGAGACAATTGATTAAATTGTGGTACAATTGACAATCGAAACAGGCACAAACTTGCCGAAGGAGTTACCAAGCTATATTTAGGTTTTAAATGGCATATTCAAGCGAATTGTATAGACTCAAACATGATTAAACAAGAACACATTTTGCCACGCAATTCGTTGTAACAACGTTGTTAGATGTCAATGCTATTGATGCCACTTTACATTTATTATGACTGGATCTTCTGTTTATTCGATGTATACGACATGTGCAGCAAATATTTTTCTCTTCAATTTTATCGCTAACGCTTACGTAGTGAATTTGAGTCATTTTTAAAGCACATAAATTCCAAAGTTCTTTTCAGTCTTTGATTCTTTTCCGCTTTAAATCACCTTATGTGATTCATTCCAAAATCAAACTCCATCCAGTTCGCTTCATCTTCTTATCTATTCATTGTGACTTCCGTGTGTTTGTAGGTAGTGGATTTTTATCTTTGAAAAAAATAAAATAAAAAAAAGCGTTTGTCATTCGGAAGTTGGTCATTTCAGCTGGATTCCTTTTATATTTCGATTGATTTGGTCACCTTATTTTCTTGGTGAATGCGCTATGCTTTTTTTATTGTTGAAAACTAGATATGACTGCTGAGCAACACGACCACAACAGCGGTTTTGTCTCCTATTTTTCGGCCTCTGTTTTATCACATTCAAGCAAACGAAAATACCGAAAAAAAACAATGAAACGAAAACTAGCGAAAATGAGAAAAACGAAACCAAAATATCTATTGTTTCGGTAAACATGTTACCACATGTGGTCTGGAATGCGATTTTGTTGCATTGTTTTCCATATGCACAAGTATCTCATATTGTGTCCTCACCTATTCATTTGTCACATATAAGAACACCGAGTGTGATTTGTGCCATGAAATGCATTCAAATTAAGGTGGCATTTTTCGTTGTGGTCAGTATCTTATTATAACATGGCATTGTGTGCATTGCATACAGAAACATCAACACCACGCCACCAATGTGGACAAAACATGGAGAGAATTTAACAAAAAAACAATGCAATTTGCGACGTTGGTTTCAATACAAAACCACTGTGATTCGAAGGTGTGAATTAGATTCATACGATTTTTGACATTCTAGCCCAAAATGCATTTGAGAGAAAATTGCATTGCTCATTTAGCAGAAGAAAAACAAAACTGAGAATGCAATTCTGCACGGATACGACAACAAAAGCGATCAATTCGTCATTTGTCAAATATTACCGTGCAGAAGACGAATAACAGTTGGAATCCTTTTATAAATCTGTGCATCGGCAATGTGGCCACTTGTTTTTACTTTGCACTGTCAATCCAACTTAAAATACTGCCATCCACTTCTCACCACACAACGAAAAAAACAACAAAATTTAAATGAAACCAAGCATATGCATGTCATGCAAAACTCAATTTCAAATTTCTGTCTTTTAGCAAGACATTTTCTGGTACGACATGTGTATAATTTTGCACTGATATATCTCATTTTTGGCAGTGCCCGTTTACAGTTATGTACAAGGCCAACCAAAATGTTTATTCAAATTCATTTTTTCTGGAAATATTTTGATTTTTTCTTGTGCTTTTTCACCATTGTAAATATTTTGATGGTTTAAGTAAATATTTCAGAATTTTTCGTAAATATTTTGGCTAGCCCTGGGGCCAGCTTTGGCTACTATGTATATTAAACCAATAACAATAACAAAAACTGTAAGAGCTGTGAATTTTTCACTCTGAAAACTCACATGTCCTTTCATAATCGCACCGTTTTTCAACGGCTTTTTATTCACTCTGCCCATTTTCTGTTTCTCTCTTGATTCTTCTGGTTATCTCACACGCGCTCTTTTACACTAGAAAGCTATGCTAAACGCGAAGAAATCAACGATGAAAAATTGTGATACAATAATAAAAAAAAATATATTATTTATCGTTACGATGTAATATGCAATTGCAATCTGCGTGCCGGTGTGCCGTATAAAAAGACGTCAGAAATGGTAAATGGCATAAAAATCTGAAGAGATGGGAATGGGGATTCTATGACCTGTTATTATCTTCATCTCTTCAACTCAACTTATCAGTGTATAATTATCATCAATCATCATCATCATCATTAATGGCTTCATAAGTTGTACGTATACTGAAGTCCATTGGAGTTGAACATTCATATTTATGGAAAAAAAGAGCCATTAAGTGCGGCCATGCGATTTGTGCGCAGAGAAAAAAGTGCGAAGTAAATGCGATCGTGTTTTATTACTCTATATGCAAAAGCACACACACACACACACACACACACACACACACACAAAATGATATGCTTCTTTCATATTTTTTTCATCACCGAACCGGACTAAGTGTTTCATTGCGCATTTTCTGTGAAATTACAAAACAAAATCAATTTGAATGGGAAAATTAAAGTCAGAAATTAACGCCATCTCGGCGAATGTGGTGTGAAATGGATCGAAAATTTAATAAACAAACACGATTCATAGACGATTCATGAACAAAATTCACGCTGATGCAAATTAATTAAGTACAACAAAGCTCTTCTGTACATGACTTTAGAAAACAAAATAATTTCAATGCGAAAATTAAATTGAATTGTGAACAAGAGGACAAAGAGACAATGGGGAAAAAAACAATTCTCAATGGATGCGTGAACAAGGCAAAAGCATGGGTTAAATGGAACAAAATCGTTCACATCCGAAATTGATTTGCCAGAATTCAAGAAATATATACACACACACACATATAATGAAGAAGAATGAGCGGAACGAGCAAGAGAATAACAATAAAAAAAACACAAAAGCAATACAAAACGCGGCAAAATGCGAACACGAACGCTATTCAACACGCAAAAATGAGTTTATTTCATTTAAAAATCAACAAGCACCAAACAACTCACCATCAACATAACCATCACATCACTTCATTTATCGATGCACATTATTATTCCGCCATGGACCGGATTGCACACAAAATGCATCATAATTGCAATGTTGGAACTTGGAAGCGTATGCTTAAAGGCGTCGCGTTTAAATATGTTACATGAGAACGAGAGAGAGGGAGAAAAGCGCTCTTCATTGTCGGATGTATATTGTGCATTTCGTGAGTGTATGTGCGCACGCGCATATGGTTGTTGTCGCTACTCGATCGTTTAGTCGTTGCTTGTTTTCTTCTCTCTCCCTCTTTCAATATATGCAATTTTTGTTTTGTTTTCATCTTCTTCTTGTAAAATTATTCCACGACATGAAATAATACATAATATAAGAGCACATAAGAAACACATACATCAACCGAAAGAATTAATTATTTTATTAGCAAATGAAATGGCTTCATATTTGAGTGGAAACTGAGTGCAAAGTTTCAAAATAAAATTATCATGCTGTTTACATGCGTTTCGTCGTTCGTGTGCATGTGCATGGGATCGGAAAAATGTTGATGTTTGTATGATGTACTTTTTTTCCTTTACATTTTCTGGTGCGCCATTAAATTCAGTTATATCGCGCCACAACAAGATTCAATTAACCAAAAAAGGGGTATTAATAAACTGAAATTGTAAATTGCAATCAATACCTGAAAAAAAGAATGAGAATCTATATCAAAGAGAGATAAGATGTAAACGACAAATAGAGTAAATGACAATTTTAAATTACATCGTACGAACACACAGCATCACAAAAGAATCCCCACTACACAGTAACCACGCTAATGATCTCAAGACACTTTAACGTATAATCACGTAATCCATAATAATTTTCTATAATTGAGAGCTTCGTCGGTGATTTTTTTTCGATCTAGTAATTGATAATTAAATTCGTACTCTGTGATTTTGTTGTGGCCAGTGCTTCGTAACGACGCGCAGTAGCGTGTACTATTTCTCCTCTCTCTCTCTCTTTCGATTTCCACCGTTGCATTATCGAATTTTTGTTTTTGTTATATTCTAGATTTGATTGGCGTGTGAATAACAACAACAGCAGCTAGAAAGAATGACGATTAACCGAAAACAGTATGGAGAATGGTTATGGTAAGTGTGCGCACACAACCGCATCGATTTTAAGTTAAATGAAAGAAGATAATTCACAGCTGAATTCGTTGAAAATGTGCTAAATGAACAAATAACAGTTACATGTAATTGCCAATTAATTCGGTTGTGTAAGCCCACATGCTATACCATTGCTGACTGAAATCCCTCCGTATCACATCATTAATATTATTATTTTGCTCTTTTTCTTTCTCGCTTCAAGCTTGAAGAATCGGTAAAACACTATTTTGGAATTATGGGCGTTATGGTGCTGAAAATAACTACAAACAGAAAAAAACAACACACGATGCGAAGGGGAAAATACATTCTGTCACTGAGTGATGACAATCAAAATTCCATGCCGATTTTGGCTATTATAATTTCTTTTTTTCGCCAGCATTAATCGATTATCTTAATTCGTGATCGTGGATTCGTTATTGTGCATGTTGTCTTCAACAAGTTAATTTTATTGTTTGCATAAAAATGCGGCTCCATTTGAGGTTTTCTGTTATTTATATTTACTTCGAGTCGGCGTCTATCGTAATGGCCACGCCAACACACTTCTTACACAACGATTAATATTATTGTTACTAGCGTATTGAAATTCATGAGTGCAACGTGAGCACGCACAATTTAATTGAAATTTAAAAGGAGCAATAACTTTTTCACCATCGAATTAAAAAAAAACAACAACATTGGAATAAAATTAGCTACCCGGCTTTAAGGCACAACAATCAATTTAACCGATCTGACACAGCGTAATCAGCACACTAACGCTGTATCGGATAATATTGTTCTAAGTAAGATGGAAAAGAGATTTGTTTTCATGTTTTTAGTCAACTTTTTTCTATTGAAAATCCATTTATACAGACATTCATTATACATACATAGTTTGAAGCAACAATAACAAACATTTATAGATTATAAATGCCTTTGGATTTTTTGGTCCGACATAAAACGATAACACCAATGTACTCCTATCAACTACAAAACTCCGTGAACATTCTATTGAAGACACCTGATCATCAGATTTTATACACCACAGGTGTTTTGGAGGGGGATAATGGAGAAAATCCAAGGGAGGTCGTGGAAAAATTCAGAAGTGGCTCAGGCAAAAATTGTAAAAGATTGAAAAATAGATAGTGTAAAATATTTCGTATCAAAAATGATTAAGGGGGCGAACATTTTGCTGTAAATCCTTTATCAAATAGAAGGAAAGAATAAATAGAAGGAATCTCATCAAAATTACTCAGAGGGCCTTTTTCTGATTTTTAAGGGCGAGTGTTAATGGGGCGATTGCAAACTGAGTACACTACCTTTGTCCAGATTACCTTTTGTCCAGAACTATTATAGGAGGTGCGGCCACTTTTCTTGTAAGTGCTGCTTTCTTGTATTAAGGTGCAGTGCTTAAAAAGTTATACTGAATAAAAGCAGGTACTAGCGAGTCTTGAATTAGCCGATCATTCTCCTCCCTTAATATCTTGTCCATAAACCTTTTTACATTTCCAGAATATGTTACTTGTAATTTGTGAGTTGCTGTACTACAAAAAGTACATTTCAAGTCCATTAAATGCAAAGTGAAATTTGAATATCGGCCAGAAACCAATCCAATATCTACGAGAACATATTGACGCCAGGACTGTTTTGAAAATTTTGAGAATTTGCTCCTAACTGTTTGAATGGCTTCATTTATGTACATTCGAAGTGGGCAATTATTCGAAAGGACGGTTCATTGGGACCAAAAATACTACAGCGTCGAAATTACGTTCACAAATGCAAAAAACAAAAAAACAAAGTGTGAATATCATGTAATTTTCATTCGCGTTTTCTTCTCACATCGCGTGATCCTTTAACTTCATACCAATTTGGCTTTGTTATATTATTTCCTTCAACATATTCCAATAAGCTTCTTATTCTTCTTTTTTGTGTAGCGATTTTACATTCTCCTTTGCTTATACTTCCGTACATTTAAAATTTTCACAAATTTTCTGATTTCTCCTTACAGAGTTTTGTTCTACTGCAGAAACCAATTTCAATGCTGTAAAATGTAAAATAGGCACCTATATTGATGTTAAGTTATTATTTCCACATATGCTTATAGTTAATTACTTAAAAATCTAACAGAAGTTTATGTTTTGTTTTCAAAACTTGATTGCAATGATTATTTTCTAAACTAGGTAATCCATGTATTCAGAATGTGGTGTAAAAAAGACAGTTACATCCTCTGTTTGATGAAAAAAAGAGGCTCAAGCGTAGAAATTCACTTTGATCGCATTGGTTCGGATGCCTTTAATGTAGTAAAGATATATAAAATGCAGCAGGCGAAAAGTCCAGTTGACTGGCTGCAAGTGTCGAAAGGAGCAGAAAAAATGCACAAAACGAATGGCAATAAATAAAATTGTTGGAAAATGGATGCAACCAAAAAGCGACATGTATTCGTCTCACTTGTTGTGTCTCTTTCTGTATCATTTAAATTGCATCGAATGAAGTAACAACAACAAAAATGCAATTCAGCATTCGTGTCGTACATAAAGGATCGGTTGAATTGATTGCAGCGAATATCGTATAAAGGTCTGCGTGCTCGTATAAAGACATCAGGGTTTTCGGTCTGCGTGCTCGTGATAGCTAAGCCGGTGGTTTTTTCTTCTCTTCTTCTTGTTGTTATTGTCCGTTCCTGTAAGCATAAAATACGGAATTTTCGGCCGTTCGATTGTGTTTACGCAATATTAAAAAGATTCTTTCTGGTGGCAACAAACGATTTATTCCATTTTATTTTCGCATGTTCGATTCGACTCGAAAAATATCAAGCCATCTCAAAAATGTTCAGCAAAATAAACGCATTATGTTATCTTGTAGCATTTATTTTTTTTGCCATCTTCTTCGCTTTTGAAGTGAAAAAAGCTTGTGGTTTTGTTTTGTATGTCTCGATTTTATATTTTATTCTTTTCGTGCAGAGCAACACGCGAAAAAAAAGCGACGGCAAACAATTTATTCTGAAATGAAAACAAACACACACACACAAACACACACAGCCGTTCGTTTTGAGAGTAGCAAGTTGTTTGTTCCGATATAGGATGAGCATTGATCAAAGTGCAATGCAAACTGGAGACAACCACACAACATATTTTGTACATATATTTATTCAAACAAATGTGCGTTCGATTGAAATTTATTTGGCAACCATCGAAATCTCGTTGTATACCACTGACTTACACACAAACCAATTCAGTCGGACGATCGGTCTCGACAAACAGAGTGGAATTCGCCATCTATAAGAACTTGATTATCCGTGCAACCATAACCAGAAATTTATAAATACATAATAAAAACCAATGTTTGGATTCGCAGCACGAATTTTCACAATTTCGTTTTTTTTACTCTTTCTCTCTCTCTATCTCTTTCTCAAAAGAAATAAAAAATGACACACAACGAAAAAAAAGAGCTTAGCGAACACAGCAGAACAAAAAATAATAAGAAATATCTTTCTAAAACAAAAAGAAATAAAAGATATATTAAACGATCAAAAAATATACACACACACACACACACAACCAGAACTTCTGAACCAGAAGAACATAGTTTAGTTTTAAAAAGCCATTTACCTGTTCTGCGAAATTGAAATAAAAATATTTGGGTTTTAAACATTTTTTTTGTCGACCCGGTGCTGACGTTGTTCGGTGTGAGTGAGTGTGTGTTTCATATGATGACTTTGGTGATGATGACGATGGCGGTGGTGTGCAATCATTTTACGGATATTTTTTTTCCACGAAAAACCAGTTTGAATAGCATTCTATAGGCGATTATCAATTTGATGCGTCCAGAATTTGTGCAGCATTTTTTCACAGATGTTGCATATTATTTGGTATTTCTCTTGTATCGTCCGTTTTACACTATATCACACATTGCACTGGCGTGTCTGGGTCTGATCTGTTTCGTGCATTTCTCTTTCTCTCGTCTATCGCTTTTTTGATGACTTTGTTTGATGCACATTTTGCACTATCGTTGTGATGGAAAATTTTCGCATTCAGTACACACAACACTGAATTGACCAATTACCTCTGATTTGGTTGCTAGCGCGCTTAAAATCAACAACAGTTTCAAGTATACCTTCAGCGAAACGAAAAAAAAAACACCATCCACAAATGAAAATCATAATAATTGATGGTGACGGAAGATGATTGCTAAAATCGATTTTCAAAAAATCTTCTTTGGCCAGTAGCAAATTTACCTTTTGACGATTGAGATGGCTTTTGTGAGATAAATGCAAAAAAAGTAGTTTTGAAAAAAAAAAAAAAACTAATCAAAACATTAAAGATTTTTGGACGCTTTTTACAGTAAGTGTTGAAACCATTTATTTCTTGATTTTTATCTATTGTCGAATTTTACGCGATGACAAGCCATTTAGCTGTGGTGTTAAATAAATACTTTAACAACTTGCCATGCCGTGATTGATGACCATGAAAATGAGAGCAAATGAAATCCGGCTCTCGCGTAAACTTTTTTCACACTATTGGCAATATTTTCTTTGTTTGATGCTAAAATATGAATTTTCAGTTTTTTTTTCATGTAAAAGCATACATTTTCCGTTCATTCCAACGGTCATATAAGGTTAAACACAAAAATAATGATGGACATTATGATAATTTTTCTAGATAAAATGAAACAATGAAATGTTGAAATAGTTGATTTGCGGCCATTTTCATTCATTTTGTCACTTGAGGCAATGATGTTTATGTGACTATCGGTTAGCCCACATTGATTTCCAAAAAAATAAGTGGCATGTCATGTTCGTATCTCTCCCTCTCTCTCGTTCTTTGTCATTTCTAAGGCGTTTATCTGATGAGTAATTGTCGCTTTTGGCGGCATTTGAATAAAAACAAACGTTTCGATAGCCAATTATATGAAGCATTCATCCAATATATCAATCAATTATTGATAAGAAAGTGAATTTAAAAAGCGAGGTGTATATACGATGGCCATTGGCCACACAGTGTAAGCGTTTT